TTTGATTTCTCTGCATGTATTGAAGGGTATATTTGGCATTTCGAAAATCAATATCGGATGAATGAGAAATTACGAAAAAGACCTCAACCATTAGTGAATAGACACCTTTTCATAAAGGTGCATTGTTTGGAAAGGGTGCATGGTTTGGCCTCAACCATTTCGTCTACACCCTTTCATGGTCTATAAATAGGACCCTTTGGGTGTCCTATTCCTCACAGTTTTGATATGCAAAAACGTCTCTCATCCTCTCTTCTATCCAAAATCAAAATCATTTCATTTATTTTGATTTTCTTTCATTTCATCCTTGGAGTACATAAGCCTACATTTGGTTCGTTGTACTTGTGTTTTGGAGTGCTACAAACACAAGTGTAGCCGTTGTATCTTGGGAGTCGATTGCCGAAATCCGTAGGCACCGTTGCGGGGCAAATTCGACTTAAGGACAAAGAGTCCAACTCTTGCCTCGGCTTTGTCACCATCATTATACTTATTTCGGCGTCACTATTCACAAAATTCTTCCAACAATCTTGTATAATATTGTAAAATGATTTTAATGATGCTTGCTATAATCTTGTATACATATGGATAGAATATTCACAAGAAAACTGGTCAGAGAGAAAAGAACAAATTTATGAGCTCAAAATGAAAAGAGACAAGGGAGTTGGAGGCTCCATTTGTTGTCTGATATTGCAGAAAGATTTGCATACAAATAGATAAGTCTCAGTCCAAGAAAAGGACATGAGGTAGAAGGAGAAACCATGTGAATTTCAGCTGCAGCTTGAAAAAACTAAACAATGTTATCTTACAAAATCAATCAAAAACCTAAAAAATGGCTAAGGGGGGAAAAAAAATAGATTATTAGGACCAAATGACATTGGTGTCCAGAAAGCAATAGTTTCTGCATTATTCTATTTCAATTCCTCTGAAACATTTCTTTCTTTTATCTTTATTCCTTTGATTCTGCTTTTACTTTCTGTTTTTATATTCATCACTTAGATTATTTGCTTGACTTAGATTATTTGCTTGGTAGTGGGAACCAAGAATCTTGTAAAACCTAAGCATGTTTGGTAAAGCGTTTACTAGATTATACGAAGCAAGTCTTGCAAAATATATGGATAAAAATAGAATTTGACACACTTATAAGCAATCATAAGCTTTGCCAAACATGCACTCATGAATATCAAATTTGCTCTTTATTGACCAAAATATGTTGTACTTTGTCACTCAGAAATGTTTCATGCACTGAATTCTCAACAAGAAACCTTTGTCATGGGTCTCTCTTCTTGAATTCTATATTAACGTTATCCAGTTTAACGTACGAAACATGTCCACTATTTATTAGAAGAGTAAAAATGTGTCGCGCTTCCATTAATTTTAGGTGTAACCGTGTCGGAAGAACGAGGTTGATACCTCTGTGGACACTCTTCTAAGTTTTAAGTTTGCCCCTTGCCATATGAAAAGGTTGTGGACAGCTTGGATTAAACTGTCTCATGGTCTTCGTGCTGGAATAAACAGGTTGAAAGGTTTGACATTTGCTGGGGAAAGAAGATCATAGGACTCGGGAGGCAAGCAGCATTTGTGAACACGAGTTTCTAATTTAGATTCATAAATTACAAGGTAAAAAGCCAGCATCAATTGGTTAGAAACAAAGTAACAACAGGAGGTGAAAGACTAGGATCAGAAAGTAACGATTTGATATCCAGTGGCGTCCCAAATTGGAACCTGGTGAAAAGGAATCCCGTTGCCAAACATTTAACCGAACGATTAAAAAACTTAAGAAAAACAACAGAAGAGGAAAAATATTAGAGCTAAATCTGAATTTCTACTTCTTAAACAAACCAACGGGATTCTTCTTCGCCTGATAAGCCATTATAATGCACCTACTTACCTTGAACGTTTAGCTGAACTCATCCTGATTCAATCTGGCCTCCTGAAGGGCATCTAATCAGCTCCAATATACTAACCACTTCTGCCATGTCGGGCCTGTTCGAAGGAACTTGTGATGTGCAGAATAAGCCTAACTTTATCATTGGAATTCCCTCCTCGACTGGAAACTTCCCCTGTAGCCTACTATCAATGCATTCCTCCACTCTGCCTTCTTCCCATGATCCTCTAACCATGTCACAGAGCACTACAACATCGTCCTCCAGGTACTCAACAGGCCTCTTCCCTGTGACGACCTCCAGCACCAGAACCCCGAATCCATACACGTCACATTTCTCGGTTATCTTAACAGTTTTGCATGCAAATTCTGGTGCCATGTAACCGAGGGCGCTCTGAATCTTGCTGCTCAAAATATATCGATCTAACATGGGCAACAGCCTGGCTAAACTATAATCTGCAAGCTTAGGTTCACCAGAATTGTCAATCAAGATATTACTTGATTTTATGTTGTAATGGATCAAGTTCATTTGATGCAAATGAGTCAAGCCTTTAGCTGCACCAAGAATAATATTGAACCTATCGTTCCATGAAAGGTAATTTCCACCAGATTCTTCATGAAGGTGCTTATGCAAATTTCCACCAGAGACATATTCATATATAAGAAGCTGCAGTGAAGGGGTCCAGTAATAACCTTCAAGTGCTACAAGATTATCATGATGGACTTTCCCCAATTTTTGAACTTCCCTTTCGAAAACTTCTTTGGATTTTACAAGACTTGAAACAGTAAGCTTCTTGATGGCAACTGAGCGTCCATCTCTGAGCATTGTCCGGTAGACAGTTCCGAATCCCCCACGTCCAAGTTCACAATCCTTGTTAAGCAGAGCATGTGCCCCTGTGCTAAAGTCAGAATCACCTGAAAACATGACAAGTTTCCCTGAACTCCCATTACTCGTAGGTGAATGGCTGTCATCACCACCATAGAAAGTGAGAGCTGCCGCAGATCGAGATGTAGAAGCTTGTACACGAAGATTAAGAACGGTGATTGCAATTATGCCGATAACAATTGCCACAGCTGCACCAATAGCAATGAGGGTTGAGATGGTAAGGATTTTCTTCTCATGACCAAAACTTTGGGGGATTACACTGGTGTTGGCATCAGACGAGTTAGGATTAAGTACAATGGGTTTAGGAAGGACCGTAGGGCAACTTCTATTAACTGATGCCCCACAAAGAGACGGATTGCCAGTTACAGATGAAGGAGCAATAGTGTTGAAAAATCCACCAGCAGGCAGTTCGCCTTGTAGCTGGTTGTGTGAAATGTTAAATAACTGCAGGCGTCCAAGATTGGCCAGCTGCTTGGGTAGTGTCCCCATGAGCTTGTTGAAAGACAAGTCTACAGTCTCAAGATAAGTAAGTTTTGCGAGTGATGCAGGAACAGGGCCAGTTATTTCGTTATGAGCCAGACACCTGCAAATTTGGCAACAATCCAAAAGGAACTCAGTTGGAATGGCAGAAGGCTTGAAAACTTAAGAAATAATGGATTAGATTAAAATTTATTGATCAAGCCAATATCCATGCAGAAAATTTTGTTCGTTTTCTTTGTATAAACAGCAGGCACAGATAAGATAGTACCCAAATTTCTTGACATTGAATAAATTGCCTTGCAAGAGCATAAATTCAAATGGATTTCAGCAGAAAATTGAACAGTTACAGGATACTTGCTAGCTTAGAATTGCATTTAACCATTTCACGAGCTACACAGTTAAGTTGCATAAAGATTACTCAACAAAACGAGAAAAGCACAAAGAAATGTTACAATAATGCATAAAAACAGCAGAGAACTTACAAGGATACAAGCGAAGAGCAGTTCCCAATCGAAGTAGGAATGTTGCCTTCGAACGAGTTCTTCTCTAGCCTCAAATCCTCAAGAGATGTAGCTCCACCAATTTCCAATGGGATGCTACCATTTAACTGGTTATCGCTCAAATCCAGAGTTTCCAAGATTTTCAATTGTCCAATTCTTGCTGGAATACTACCTACAAATGAGTTTTTCGACATATTCAAGAAATGCAAGTTGCTGAAATCTCCGGTAGAACTGGGAATTTCACCAGATAGCTGATTCTTAGAGATATCCAAAACTACAAGCTTGTGACGAGAACTCTCCAAGGAGGAAGCAAGAGTATTATCCACACTCCCACTTAATCTATTATCTGAAAACAGAAGCTGCTGTAAACCAAGCTCGAATGGCCAAGAAGGAAGTTCACCAGTCAAATAATTGTGGCTAATATCAAGAGTCAGAAGGTTTACACAATTCTTCATAGACTCGGGCAAGAGTCCAGTGAGAGAATTCTTGGATACATTTAAAACTTTCAATGACAAGAGCTTCCCAAGAGAATCTGGAACTTGGCCAGTTAAGTTATTTTCAGAAAGATCCAGGGTTTCAAGGCTTCTCATTTCTCCAATCCATTCAGGAACCTCCCTTGTGAATCCATTTTTTCCAAACAATAGATTATTACACAAGGTAAGCTGCTGCATTGTGTTTGGAAGCCCTCCAGAAAATGAATTTTCACTCAAATCAATTGACCTCAGCAAAAAACAATCTCCAATTCCTTCCGGAACTTCACCAGTAAATCGATTCTTCCTCAAACTTATCCCCCTCAAATTGTTCATACCTTCAATGCCGTTTGGAATCTCTCCCTCCAACAAATTATCAGATAAGTCAAGCATCCTCAGTCCGTGCAATGACCATAACCCTGATGGCAAGGATCCCGAAAACTGATTGCCTGAAAAGTTCAGTGAAGCAAGCGTTGAACACATGCCCAAGCTCTCAGGAATATGGCCTGAAAATTTGTTATTCGCCAAGGAAACCGATCTCAAAGACCCACATTGCCTAAAGAAATCGTTCGAAATTGACCCGGATAGGCTATTCTCACTCAGGTCCAGCACCCTCAGATTAGAAAGCTGAGCAAAACCGATGCTTATGCTTCCTGTAAGGTTGTTTTTGGCTAGCGAAAGCTTTCGCAGAAGCTGCAATTTAAGTAGACCTCTACCTAGTTTTCCAGAAAGTCCAAATCCATCAAGAACAAGGTCAGATACTCTATTGGATCTGGGGTTGCATTTCACACCAACCCAATCACAAGGGCTAACATCATCTTCGTTCCAAGAACTTAATTTCCCATCTGGATGTTGAATATCAGCCTTGAACACAATCAACCCCAGAACATCATCATTTAGAGAAGGGGTCAGAGATTTCACCAAAATGGGAAACGAAAAAAAGACTAACAATACACCAAACAGAATTCTCATTTAAATAAATTAATATAGTGTTAACAAAAGTTATGGCATTGTTGGGTTCAGATTGAAAATCGAGAAAGACAGTTCTTCTTTTCTTTTTTTCTATCTAAAAGAATACTTCTCAGGAACCTAAAGAGGAGACAAGTAAACTGGAAGTGACTTTGAATAGGAGCTGAAAAGATTGGTTCTTGAACTCTTTTTAAGCTCTCAAGAACCAAATTCTACTGTATTTAACCTTCAAACTCATCAAAAGATACACATGTACATACAAATGTGCATGTACGCAAGTAACTTTTGCGTTTTGACTATTTAACAGCTAGAAATTGCTACCAAAGAAAAATATGGAAAAGAACCCAGAAAATTAACAGAAAAAGCCGCTAAAGAACCAAATTAAACAACTGCATTGGCAAAAGAGAACTTCTGAAAACCCAAAAATCAATCAACACATAAAATATCTTTAGCAGACGATAAAAAAGTTAACAAACGAAGAAAATCAAAAATAGGAATCAATTGTGAGAAGAATTTTTGTTTGGCGTTGAAGTGACTGTAACGAGAAGGACCGTGAAAAATCTGAGAGTGAAAAGACTCGCCGGACTATCTTTTTCTGGAAATGGAATCCAGGGGGTGGAGTAACTGGCTGGAGCTTGGAGAGGGGAAGTTACCAGAAAATTCGCCGGGAAAGGTGGGGGGATGGGAGTTTCCGGCAACGGACAGTCACTGAAACATTTAAAGCGCTCTCTTTTACACACACACACAGCTGTGAGAGAGAGAGAGAGACATCTTTTAATGCAGGTATGGGAACGGTTTTATTTGGAATCGACACGTGGTGATCGTTTATTGGTATAAATAATCCGACGTGTCTTTCCCGTTGTTACGGGTGTCCATATGGCCCACGCCTTGAGTACATATTAAAAGAATTTGTGTATTTAAATTTTTAATTATTGATTGATTTAATTTTTAACTTAAACAGTTATACCTTTTGTAGAATAGAGTTTTTGGAAAATGTGAATTGTCGAAAAATAAAAACTTAAGAAAACGTTTTCCTTATTTTTTAATAAAGTAGTCACTTGATCAACTTTTGAAAAATATTTTTAATGAAAAATATCAATTAAACATTCTAAAAGTAAGAATTTAGATAACAAAAGCACATTTTTCATGAAAAGTAAAAATAAGATCAATCAAATACACCATAAGAGAAATTTTTTAAGACGCGTTTGAATGGGCTTATAAGCACAACAATTAATGGAAAAAACGTCTTACAATTTTGCAATAGGAGTTGGTTTAGCTAATTTACTGTGGCTTCTTGGAACACCCATTAGTGGTAAAATTCCATGAAAAATGTCACATTCGAGGAATTCGTTTTTTATTTTGATTGTTTAATACGAAAGTGAAAATGAAGTTCGAATTTCAAGATACAAAACACTTAAAGCATGTTTTTGTCAATTGAGTGGAAATCGAATTTTTATGGTTTTGTGATTTTTTTTTTCCAATTTACATGGAATTAATTTGCCGTTTCCACCTTTGCAATCAAAATTTGCACGTTGTCAATGAACAATGAATTAACGAAATGACATTGAAGTAACACACATCGCACTTTCAAAAAAAGATTAACACATTTGTAATTTGTTGTCAAAATATTATTTTATTCTTGTAGATATTTATTCGATGTGTCCCATATTAAAATAAAAATTAAATAAAGAGCATCTATGATTACAAAAATAAATAAATTATAATTTCTTGGAATATCTTGGCAACAGTTGAGGGGAAATGAACAGAAAAAAAAAAGAAGAAGGAAATTCCCCCCCCCCCCCACACCAAAAAAAACCACCAATCAACTATGTTCTTCAAAAAGTTGTAAATGCCTCAAAGTTTTCCATCCATGCTACTTGTACAATTTGTTTATAGATTTTTGATAAACGTTGAGGTGACATAAATTCAAGGGCTAAAGTGCATATAACCACAGCATCTGTCAAAGAATTCGTCATAATATTTCTGTATAAACAGCTTAATTCAAAATTTTACATTTATTCTTTGACTTAAGTAGTAGGGACACATGGAATTTTGTGTGGGTTTAGGTGACTGATAACAAAGTAGCATCGTGAAAAAAGCGTGAAATTAGCCCTCATCGAGGTCAAATAGAAGATGAAATAGTAAGTTCCCAAGTGATGTCACGTTGAGCAAAATAGCGATTATCTTGCAGGCTAGTTACAACAGATGTTTCAAAGTGAGGAATACAAAGAAAAAGTCCCAAAGAGAGAGAATTATCTGAAATTCAATTAAATTGCAGAATGATAAAAAAATAACTCACAAGCTGAGTTATATAGCTAAGAAAAATTCGAAATTATCGAAATTTTATCAAAATAGTAAAATCTCAAAGTTATGGTCAAATTACCAAAAACATGTTTAAGGGGGTGTTTGGGAGTAATTTTTCACCTCAACAAATTGATTTTTTATTGTTATTTCACTATTCTAGCCGTAAAGTTTGACTTCTTCTCTCACATGTGGTCATTACTTTTCTCCTAACAGTCAAAAAATCAATTCTCATCCCAAATAGGGCCTAAAACTGTTCCTAGTTATGAAAAAATCACGATGATTTGCCATCTTTGTGTCGATCTGCCAATCCATGATATCTTAATGCCATCAACGTGCTATCTGACAACTTGGTATCAACTGACCTCAAAATCTCCTGCATCATGATGAGACGAGGAAGGCTCACACCGTGTGCTTGTGAAAGGAGCCAATGACTCATAGGGAGTTGACTTGTTTAAGAGAATCACTGGATCGTTTAACTTCATTTTATTGTTAGTTATTGATATTTTGCGCCCATTTAATTTAAATAAAAATTAGATTTTTAATATAGTTTGATAAAAGTTAATTAAATGTATGGTTGAACAGTTGTGAATTTCTTAAAATGTGTAGTTAAAACTAATTGTTAAATTATAATCCACTTTTTTATTGGAACCAAACAAGGAATTTATTTCTTTTTATAATGGTTAATTTACTGACTAATTTGATGGCGTGACAATCTAGTTTTTCATCAACTAGACACTAGATCGTGACTTGAGCTTTTAGTTAATCAAAATTACACATGCAAAATGACAAATTTCAAACAAATATTTAAGCATAGCAATCAGCTAGAAAAAAAATTTTAGTTTATACTAAGGTGAAACTTTACTAAAAGTTCAGGGACCATCAATGTTTTTAATAATCTCCTAAATCTCACAATTATTCACCAAATGCCATAATTGTACCTGACTGCATTAGTATATGCATGATGCTTTTAAGCCCATATTCGAGATCTCAATTTTTATTTTATTTTATTTTTTAGTTTTATAATAATGATTTTTTGGACAATATGCAATTAAAAAGTGGGAAAAAGTTTTATGTTTACATTCAAAATTATTTTACTAAAAAATGTACGATTAAAAATGAGTTTGAGAAAAGATGAGTTTATAAGAAAAATGGAATCCAAACAAGTGCTAAAATTTGTCTCTACATCATGAACATCGAGCATGGTCCTAAATTTTGCTGGAAAATCATAGAGAAAAGGCAAGATTCTTATGTTATGAAGTGCACGTTAACCATGATGTAAATTATTTACGAGTTGTGTAGAGTGAATCGTGTTGACGTATATAAATAATATGTTTGGTTCCCTTCTTACACACAAAACAATAAAAAACTTCTTATTCAAATTTTCTTGTAAAATTTTTAGGTGAAAGAAAAATTATTATACACTAAAAAATTTTGGCCACACAACTTTGAAACCTTAGCTTGGCACGACATGAGGATTTATCTCCACGTAATCACGTGCATTAGTTAACTTTTTTGGAAATTGAGTGGATTTAATGATTAAAATTTTGAAGTTGACTTAAAGTTATACTATCAACTAACAATTAAGCTATTTATATAGATAATTTTTACACTTTCGTTGACGATAATAATGTGGCATGGATTTTGATCCTTGATTTAAATTTCATTAATAGTCAAAATGAATGTCACATTATCATCTGTTAAACTTTCAGTCAGAATTAACTGTGCAGTTAGCATGACCGATCAACTAATGTTTTGTAGTATTACTTGTATTTATAATATCACGTAAACTGGTTCTATACATGAATGTGCTACTTACCATTATTCTTTAGGATTATCAAAACACAAACAACAATAAAAACCAAGAGAACGAGAAGAAAATATTCATATGCATAGAAATTTTTGCTGACTTGATATGTTCATTCAAGGATTGTACTGGTTAAGTGTTTTTAGTAGTACATAAATTTGAAGGTCAAGTTGATTCAAAACTCCGTTTGCTCCTATATAAAATACCATATTTTAATTGATGTGCTATCTTTCATATGAGTAAAATAAATATTTCACGAATTCTTGTATAAGAATAATTTTTTTAAACAAAATACTTTATAAAAAAATAATAAAATTAAGGAGTATTCGATAAGTGCATATTATGGACTTATCCGAACTTCTAAACTTGTTTATTTGTTGTTAAATTGATGGAATATAACTGATTTAGTGTAAATACGATCAATTGTATATAAAACCTCAACTTGGATGCAATTGGAAGAATTAATAAGCTTTAGGAAGTTAAGTTCAACATTTGAAAATTTAAGGACTAATTGTAAACTTTCGAAACTTGCATCGGATTAATTACAAATAATTGCGGAACGTGGAGGATTACATATAAAGATTTAAAAATGAAGGATCTATGGTGAAACTACAGAAGAACTCAAGCCGAACAAAAGGAGGTACTCAAAACAAAAGAAATCATGGAAGCGAACTTATGCCTTGCGATTGCAATGGCTTGAAATTAAATAAGAGAGAGCAAAATTGGGTGTGCGATTGCAAGAGATGATGTGTGATAGCATAGGCCCTTTTCCGGTCAATATGATTTGATTCCTTGTTCAATTAACTTTTATTTAGAAAGCAATTAGATCATGATTAATTGCATAATTTTGGTTCTATAAATACTTAAATTCATCCAACAATTAAAGAGGCTTTTGGGAATTCAATAGACATACACCACTCAAGCCAAGGAGACTCTTAGGATACAAAATTTATAAACCACTCAAAGAAGGGAGCCAAAGAGGAATCTTTCGATCAACGAAATCATAATTTTTTTCAAGGTTTTATAGAAGCATTTTACAAAACATATCCATCCATTACTATATTTTATTATAGCGTCGGTTGATAAATATACTTTAATTTGATTTTAATCAGATAACTAAATTTTAATTTAATTTTAATGAAGGTAAATTCATCCAATTCCGTCATTTGAATTGATAAACAGATAATGTGACAATCAATAAACAATGGTCGTCATTTATTTTATGAACACTGTTATTTAACGCAACTGACGTTAAAATACCAATTTATATAGTACTAATGTAGCAATAAATAAAATGTATAATTTTATTAAGCTTATCATTTAATGTCCTATAGACTAATGTTATAGTACCAGTTGTACTATATATCAATATTCTTATTTCTTTGAATGGAAGGAATGCAATTACTTGAATGAATTTAAATAAAAATAGAATTATTTGATTAAAATTTTCCAATTTCCACGACACGGTGGTAGGTGTAGCTTAGCCAGGGGGGACCTATTTAAAGTCAAATGTCCTGACGCCACCTTTGACGGCGTCAAAAGCTAAATAACAAACGCATGCAGACAAAAACAAAATTGCCGTTAGGTCAATTCTTCTTCTGCAAAATCGATTCGCGAGTATCAAC